CTATTACAAAATAGTCGATATATTTCAGTAAATTTCGAATTTTTCGCACATTTCCTGCGCGTAAAAAGGACTAGACGATAATATACATATATGCATACACACTTTCACACACACGCACACACGCGCACACGCGCACACAGACACAGACACGGCACCCTTACACGCATACACACTAACGCGCGTGCATACAATACACACATACGCGCGCGCGCGCGCGCACAGAGAGAGAGAGAGAGAGAGAGAGACAGAGGCAAAGACCACCTTTTTGAAAAATCTTTATAGTCGAATAAGAATTAAAAAATAATGCAAACTATTGTATGTGTTGATAAATTCGTGTTAGATAAAATAGTGCGAGTAAATCGCGTTCGTTGAAAGAACGTACAAACGATCGCCGTTGCACAATCATCGAATAATAAAGTCATATCAGCTCTAAATACGCGAGATCGAGCAAATGGCAGGGAAATAGAAAAATTAAAAATGGACCATTTTCACGAGCAATCATCCAATGTAATTGTAGTGTATATATAGTATAAGCAATTTGTGTACGCGTAAATGCATTGTAAATGAGTGTCGGGCTCGGTCGTACATGCATTATTGTCTTCGGTACCGTCGGCTGGTCGTGGTGTGAGGCGTGTCGGGTCGCGGAGTGGGTGGAAGGGAGGGCGGGAGAGGCTAGAGCTAATTTATCAGACTCGTCGTTATTCATGTAGATGCTTTCAGCCCTGACTGGAATAACATTGCGAGGCAACAACCGCAATGTCGTCGAGCGCACGAGGCAATTTTAACGAAGCAAATCAAATAAGCGTAACGTCCGCATATTTGCCATTATAAGGTGTCGCAAAAGGAAGCCGAACAAGACCGACAGCGACAAACGACATCGACGAACAACGAGATCCGGCATTAGTTTTACATCCACGAATTCACCTATTCTTCCTCCTTCCTTCGAAATTCATATTGGCGAGCGATGATTAAGAAGCGTTTTTCACATCGCAAAATATTAGACAAACAACGTGGATGTCGTCCGAATGGTTAAATCCTCGGCCCGATAAGCTTTGCCCTTGATAAAGCGCCCCGGTAGCTGTCTAGGCGCCAACAAATTCATCCCCGCCGATTGGACGATTCGCGACAGTTTCCTTAGACTTTTTCTTTTATTTTTACGTGCAGTGGATGTCGCGTCCCGTGGCGGCGATTCGTTGGCGCCCCGGGAAAATGGGACGAGAGACGCCCGTCTCGCCTTCCAGACTTGGAGCGTCTTCTCCGCCCACAGCCGCGGGACATCATTATTTCCTTCTCTCCTAACAAACTTTCGTGGCACGCAAATTCTAGTGGTGGTGGTAGTGGCGACGGGGTGGTGCGGGGGGAATTACGCTAATCGTCGGCCCACGTTTTGGATCGAAGTCGGATATATTTTATTGGGTAAGAATTAAGATTAAGGACATATCTTAAGATGCTTCGAAATTATTATAATTAGCGGCAGTGCTGGCTTCGTTCGGAAGTTTGGAAAGTTAATTATTGAGGCGAGAGGTCCGTCACTCTTTGTGCCGGGCATTAGTTCTTACACTTACCTCCAATTCGCATTTATTATTTTTTTTTTTTTTTTTGACCACCTTCCCGCGCTACTTCGTCCACGCGCGCTCCATCGCACTCCATCCAATAGACTATAGATTTCTCGTTTCCGAGAAATAGCGTTGGAGTACCGGCCGGAATTTCTACCTTATCAACCGAGTCATAGCTTTTTTCCTACGTATCGACGTTCGCCGCGAGAGACTTTGCGTCGGGCGTTCGAAAATATGTCCGTTACACGAAATTCAAAATACAAAACCGGCGAACTATGCCGAGTGGAAAAAATGTCCACGACACTCGACCTTCCATTAAACTTGAACCGATAATACGATCGATTCCTTCTCATCAAAGTGTCGTATCCGAAGCATTACAACGTCCGCTCCAATGATTTTCTAATAAAAATGCAAATATATTTCGTAATATGTTATTGTTGTATAGACGGGGTATGCAAGGGCTGCCGAGCAACACTACCACCAAACAATAAATAATTTGGGGAATTTTATTGCTCGGCAAAGGGGCCATTGTAGAGATAGGAATGAATGAAACTAATAAAATTAATATATTTATCTAATAATAATAATAATAATAATAATAATAATAATAATAGTCCACAAAATTGCATAGGAAAAAAGTCGATCGATTGCCAATCAAGGCGTAATAAAAGTCCAAGGGTTTATAAGATGAATTTTCAACAAATTTTTATAATAAATTTATAATGACAAGGATTATGAATTGTTTTCTGCTTCCGCTTCCCTTCAATACCTTCATAATAAATATTTTACGCACGTGAAAGACGATTAACAGTAGATTCCCGACACTCTTGGCTTCGGTTAGTCGTGCATTCGAATGTCCTGATGAGCGCGATTTTTTGAATGACGCTGAGTCCAATTGCTTTTTGCCGATGTCTTGTGCAAAGTCTACTCGCCAACCCAAGACTTTCAAAACGCTCTTCACCTCCATTAATTTCCTAGGACGTTGATAGCTGACGCTCTCGGCCACGGTGCTCCGTGGACATGGCGAGAACGAACATAGACTTTCGTCAGTCAACGACCTGATTACCAACCGCGCGTGTGAGAGAGAGAGAGAGAGAGAGAGAGAGAGAGAGAGATATTAACGTAATTTATCCATAAATCACGGGCAGCGCGCAATTATCATCAGCCGCTGCAGGAACGTTCCCACAGTCCCAACTCAAAATCGAATGGAGAGTGTTCTGTCCAGCCGTCCCACGCCCCGAATCCACCCGGAAACCTCGTCCTCGTCGATATTATTCGTGAGCTTCCACGTACTCATGGATCGTCGTACCGAAACACGAGCACGAATAATTTCTCTCAACGAGTATCCTCCTCACCCCGAGCCCGGCAGCGTTACTCGCTCGCCCGAAATTAGCCCGAACTCAGCTCCCAGAGTTGGATCTCCGTTGTCAGCCACCGGTAGCACGTTCGAATTTTGAAAATTTGCCGTTGAGGAGGAGGAAGGGTTGGTGGTGCGAGAGGCGTCATCTGCATTTATTTACTCGGAGGTTTAATGAGTTGGATAGATTGGGGGGGGGGGGAGAAGGCGATTAGGGTGTCGGTAACGATGGTTGGATTCTGACCTCCGACTCGCTCCCCTTGATTTGGGGGAGAGGGTGCCCGTTCACGAGCTTAACATTAACTATCAACTATTAGTCGAGTACTATTAGAAGCACCTCGGTGTATTGGATTTTGCCTCACCGGCGCCGGAGCTGTCCACGATAATTTTTTCAATGATAATAATGTAGGAGCATCGGGTATTTAGTGACAACCTCGTAATGGTCGACTGACTTTTAAAGAAAATTCATTGCGAGTGCTTTGCACGGAAACGTATTGGACTTGGAGATGATTATTTCGCAGTGCGCTCATCATCCATACTGTTCGCCATTTTACGTGACACATTTAGTAATAGTAGCTCAGGATAATTAGGAAAACCAAGTGGAGTAAGCAGTGGGATTGGGTAGTCATTGACAATAAAAATTTACTAATACTTTTGACTTTGCATTTGTCATTTTTTCTTTTCAGGAGCTTAGATTGCTAGACGTATCGAATAACCTTCCGATACAACACCCCCGCCCCCTCCCCCCCACCACCACCACCACAAACAATAATAATTCAATTAATAATATGAATTATAGCCGATAATCGGATACAAAAGACAAATGAATCGGATGTGCGAGGGCGATGGAGGATGGATGGGGGATTTGGAATTGGCGTTAAGAGCAGGTTGCGCGCGCATGCGCTAATGAACAAAGCAAGACGAAGCCTTTAAATATGTACTATTTTTATTTCCTAAATTTACATACTCGCTATACGATTTATACGTAACATTCCACACATCTTTCGAGCTTACCTTAAGGACTATCAACTATAAACGAGATTAAAGTACCTGTTCGTAATTAGGGTATATATTTTTTTTAATTTTTTTTTTTTCGATTATTTACAGGTGTATTGATAAACGTTCGGCAATTTATACAATCGTAAAAGTGACTCCTCTCCTTCATCAATACGTCCTCCATCATACCATGTATTAATTATTAATTCATTCAATCTTCGATGCTACTTCGTCCTGTTGGGTGTAATGCTACATTCGATCGTCTCCTCAAAGATCTTTCGTACACGTTTTGTATTCGTTAGCTTGATCGGAGAATAAAATTAAAAATGGCGAATACAAACACGACTAAAGGGATCAAGTTTATATAATGATACGAGAGAAATATAGTTTGCAGTTTTGTCATAAATTTGTGTGAAAGAAAAAAAAATTAAGAAGGATCGGCGTACGATCGTGAACATTGAAAAGAATAACAAAAAGATAGGAAAAGAAGAAGAAGAAGAAGAAGAAGAAGAATGAATGGATGAATGAAAGAAAAGATAACGAAATAAGAGAAAAAGGCAATACTCTCGAATTAACTAAGCTTTCTATATAATTATATATCTTTGTTTGTTTATCAGTATGTCATCAAATAAATAGCGTTCTATGCGCGTAGTCACATTGGAAACAATTGGATGGTTGTACATTTTTTCTAAGGTTCTCCTCACTGAAAGATGTCATCAAGCTCGTTGATCGTCGAAACGAGGGCTTAAAACCGTCAAACGAGTCTCGTTAGAATAACAGGACAACAAGAACAATAATTCAAAACGACTTCCGAGTGGCAGGGTCCTTCCTTTCCTTCCTTGTTGGCTGCTGCCAAATCCGCCGTAAATCCGTCGCGTTTAAAAGCTAAGGTTCACGGTGATGAAAACCTCTCCTCTTCATTAGCTTATCAAGTTGTCTTCTTCTTGCGGCTAATTAGTGCATAAAATCGTTCAAGCTCTGGAGATCGAATGGCCACCAGTGCCAACATGCGTTACTTTAATGCTTCGGCTGCTTTTTTCTCGCTTAATCCTTTCCTTTTTATGCCTGGTCTTCTCCACCTCCCACACACACACACACTCTCTCTCTCTCTCTCTCTCTCGCTCTCTCCTTCGCCCATTTTTCAAACGAGGACTTAAGAGATCGTCGTGTCGTTTTTATTATCCGACTTGTCGATGGCGGCCAAGTGATCGGGCTTCTCGCCTCTAGCGTAGCGCTCCCACATTTTCTTGTAAAGCATCTCCATGCCGGCAGCGTACATTTTGCAGTTGAAGAGCGGACTGTCCGAGCGTGCCTTCCACACCTTGGCCCGGATGGCTTTCAAGCTGTGCAAAGCAAAACATTTCTTTATTAATTCTTGCCTCGATTCATCTAATTATAATTTGCATTTGGCGCAAACAATCTTACTCTCGCACATTGTTAATGCCGACAATGTCAAATCATCGGACGTTCGATAATCATAAACAATACTCGATTCCCGCCGCCCCCCTCACAACCATTAATCCATCACGGCAATGACTTCTGATGTAATATCAACGTAACGAAATAAGCCCCTTGATTTTCAATTTTATTTATTAATTTTTTGTTTTTTTTTTCAATTATTACATTTTTAGATTTGAGCATTTATTTCCTTGCTCTTTTATTAAAATATGAGTAACCGTTAAGGATTATCGAATATTGTTAAAATCCGGCTAGACGAATTAGGCATTTATTAGCCGAATTAATCGTGCCGCCTCTTTCTTCAGCGAAGCCCAACGTGAAAGTGGCAAATTAGTCGATAGATGGAGGACGATAATCGTTAAGATGACTTACAACTCGCGGTCGGTCCCGAGCCTGACGGCGATCTCCTGGTACTCCTGCCTGGTGCGTGCGACAAGCTCCGGGCACCCGAGGGTGTTGAGCTGGCTAGCGGCAACCCGCGATGCGAGAGTCTCGCCGGGCAGCGTAACCACGGGCGTTCCCGTCCAGAGGACGTCCATACTGGTGGTGTGGCCATTACAGAGGGGCGTATCCAGGCAGACGTCGGCCAGTTGACCGCGACGCACGTGCTCCTCCTTGGCGGCGACGTTACTGAAGAGGATGCGGCCGGAGGAGAGTCCGAGCTGCTGAGCCGTTGCCTGGAGGTTGGGCTCGCCCACGGCGGGGAAGCGTAGCAACCAGAGGACGCTGTTAGGCACGTGTTTCAGGATCTGTCGAAGAGAGGGCAGAATGTTATTCGACTGCAAACTGACTGCTAACCGAGGTATTTTTTAAGTTAAGGCGTGATTAGGCATCGACGGTTACGCGGGGGAGGTCTGGATAATTTGATGAATAGGTAATTGTGGGTAATAATTTGGTGGACCGATCGATTAAAGCGGAATAGCTTGGGAGTCGGCAAATTAAAGCGTAAACAATGCGCAATTAATTTCCATAAAGTTGAATACTTTTCAATTTCCGATATTTCGTAGCTGAATTAAAGAGCGAAAATATCGACTGAACAATGATAGAGAACGGACACAATGAACAGTTGGTTAGTTATCGACTCCAGTTAAAAAATAGTACTGCATGTTAACGTACATTTCTGTCATACCGGCTATAGCCAAGTTCCATGTGTATATATATATATATATATATATATATATATATATAATCAATTACATTCCACTTCCAATTCTAAATATTCAAAATGCTGTATACACGCAAAGTTATATCATTAAACCATTGTTCATTATATTTAAAAGATAATTAAATTAATTAATTTACCTTTCTCTTCTGCTATGTACCGTTGAGTAAAAACAAAACGTTCAAAGCAAATGCTTAAAAATTTAATGTTTAATTAAATTATAGAAAATCGACTGCTAATAAAGAGAAATTCTGTCGTGTAGTCGATGGTGTTGATTAACTTTACGTGTATCCATCCCAAGAAAAATACAATATATTTCGAAAAGTAACGCATTGTTAAGTAATAAGTTTGTAATAATTTCTTATTTCATGTCGTTATTGTAAAAGTTACTATATATGTTTACTATATTTTATAATAATAAATAATAAATTTGAAGCAATCTATTTTTTAGATTTGAAAATTTAAGGTTTATTTTCCAGTAAAGAATAATGTTTGATAATCAAGGACATGGTTTTGTGAACCTAAACGTCTGAAATAATGTTCCTAGCCACGTATAAATAAAATTCATGTCAATGAATCACTTTAAATGACAAGTCGAACAATTTCGTTCGGCCGAAGCGAAATATCATGATAATAAATGCCAATATGGACGAACAATCGAAAAACAAGTAAAATTCTACTGTTTAACAGACAAGATAATAGCTATTTGTATAATAATGAAATTTTAGCTATGAGTTTGGCAAAGTAATTGAACATTCGAACGCATCCTCCCTCTCTCTCTCTCTCTCTCTCTCTCTCCTACTTACGTATGCCCACATATGCAGCGTGAGTGGATCTATCTTATATAGCTGATTGAAGTTACAGTAGACGACGGCGTCCTCGGGTAAGCCGTACTGTTGTCTCGTTGTGATTACAATGTTTTGGGGTACTTCCTCGCCGGTGGCGGTTTTGTTGTTAACCTGCGTCGTGGCCATGCCATTTTGCACAACGACACCGTTCACCGACATTTGGCACTGTCCCGAGGCGATCATCGTCTCGATTGGTGTCGTAGTCGGCAACTCAGCGACCTTCATCGATATTTCAACAGCCTTGTTCTTCGAGTGGCCCTCCGGTACGATCACCTCTTTGATTTCCTTTATTAGTGTGCTCTCGATCATGGGTGAGAGATCAGTGGCGTTAATAACGGCTACATTGTCGGCGAGTTTATTGCCTTTGTTGAGCTTGTCCGTGAGGATTAGCCGCTCCTTTAGATGTGGAAACATTTGCCTGAAATACGAGCGAAATGTAAGTGCACACGCACACGTACGCACACGTACACACACATGCATACATTATTCGAGACTATAGAGTCTGAAATTTCGGTGGAAAAAGACTTATTGACACTGTTTCTGTGTAAGTTACAAATATCGTACTTTGAGGTAACTCGCACACTTGCGAGATATTAAAATAACAGTAAAACCTTATTTTTATTTTTTATATAATTTGCAATTTGACTCGTTGACAAAATGAGATATACAATTCGTTCGTAAGACTGCAAAGGATGAAAAAATTTTCATACTTAAAGAATCAGCAGTCCGATACAAGATTTTAAATACTCTCGGGTACGTTCCAATAAATTTCGTTTGAAATTATCTCGAAAAAGTTCATTTGGCCATTTCATTTTTTTTTTTTTTTTTATAAAATAATAAAATAATTTTATCCCTTTATTTCAAACTTTTCATTTCATATTTTCACAAATGATAAATATAAATATGAACACATTTATCATGGAAAGGCTATTTTTTTTCTTCCATGACATAACTGTTTTTTGTTGTTGTCAGCCCTGATATATAATTATATTGGTGGCTATAAAAGTATATTGTTCAGAATACTCGATTGCAATAAATTTTTAATAGAGCACTACGGATATTTCGAAATAAGTTTCATTTAACAATTGTAAAAACTTACGAATAAACCAACCTGATACTGCGTTTAACATAAAATATACCGCCCGCCGTATTCGTCCAAAAATCTTCATTGTTTGCAATAAATATTATCTTTAATCGCTCGTTCATAAAGCTTGAAAAGAGCTTTACAAACAAAAATGGCAATAATAAAATATTTGCTTTGTAACCGAACGATACGATAGATTCGACTCCCCCGGAGCATTATCAACGCGATCTTGAAATAAATGGCTCACTACAGTTAACCTTATACTTCGCGAAAAAGCCCAGTAAATTTCTTAATTACGTGCGAATAATCCCGCAAGCCTTTCTCCTTTGCATCCTCTCCTTACCTATGGTCACCGATGAAATAGGTGTGAGGCATGTAGGCGAGCTTCTCGCTGTACTGGTTGGCGAGTTCAAGGGGCGACGTTACTTCGTCGGTAATTAGATAGTCCATGAAGCTCGCTCCGGACGTGCCGGGATAACCGAGCCACATGACCTGTATGGGGGCTGGTCTCAGGGCGAATATCTCGTTCCTCGCGCCCTTGGTGTAGCCATTCATATTGACGAGGATGTGAATGCCGTCGGCGTTTATGCGGTCGGCAGCCTTGCCGTTGCATGGCACCTGCGATAGATCGACAAAGTGCTCGGCCTCGCGGGCGATCTTGCCGCGAAACGCGGTCCCGTCGTCCGAGCTCAGGGCATAGCAAAATATCTCGACGCTCTGGCGCTCGTGGAGGCCGGGGATCGATTGCATCAGGTGAGAGGTTGGATGGTTACCAAAGTCCGAGCTCACGTAGCCGATCTTCAGGCGTATCCCCGACTCCCGTGGATACTTGTACGGCAGCTTGTGCAGCACGTGAATCTGGAATTATGGAAAGTTGGGTTAAGGCGGAGTAATTTTCAAGATTCGAGTTTGTTTAATGAGATGCATTTGCGTTCGGTGAATAAATTTAGTGATGAAATTTTATGATTGAATTTGATGTAAACATCCGATTGAGTTTCCGATAGGGCGTCAAGTATTTACAATTTCGTCACTGTGGAAATCAAGGAAAATAATAAAAAGTTGTTAGGCATGAATAAATTGTAATGTGGCGAGTTAACGTCGTAATATATTATTATTATTATTATAGATTATGATATACGGTGTGTGGGGAAATATCTACAAGTCCATAATACACTTGCGTTGTGAAACGTGTCGGTATTAAAATTATATTTTTAACATTATATATTGTAAAGTGAAAATACACGAAGCGAGAAAAACGAGTTTTAGTATGATCAAAAAGTAAAGCCAATCGGAACAAATATATTATACTTCTTATCTTTAGCAATTTAAAGGTACGTCAGTTATGAAGATAGTAACTTTATAAACTTCGGGCTTTGTTGTCGTTTCTTTTGAATTTGCAGTTTTTACAGTCAGTATTAAATGAATAATAGAAAATATTTTTGATATCTTCATACTGTGATTTTACTATTTTTATATAAAATATTCTTCACATGAAATAGATATTTTTAAGCACAATAAAAGTTAGTTGAAGAATGTAGAAAAATGGCTTGGTTAGAGAGAAAAAATATTATTCAAATAACTGAAATATGTTAGCAAGATAAGTTTGTGGCTTTATTAAATTCCTATTTAATGCTAAGTGTGTTATACGATAGTTTTATATTATCAGAATAATATCAATACAAAAATATTATTATATATTGATTTTATTTAAAAACAAACGTTACACGGCTGCTTGAATTATATTTTTAAAAGTCGTATTTATCAACCGATACGAACGAATTAAAATAATAGAAATTATAATTTAAAATAATAAGCTACGATTATTTTATTTAGTGTTTAAGCTGTACAATTGAGAACGAATTATCCACTTTCATGGATTGTGGAATTGAAAAATGTGCATAATTGTGTGGATGAAAGGTTTTAGAGTAGTCAATGAATTCTGAATTACCTTAGCGCATTAAATTATAATTAACGACCTTTCAATTGCTCGATCAATTGCACAAGGTTAATATTATTTACAAAAGAACTTAGTTTGTAATTTTATTATTTATCGTTACGGTCATTGCAAACGATTTTCTCTGCGAGGCAGTGAATTATTTACAGTTAATTTGCATATTACTTATAAAAGTTATTCATATTTATTATTTGCTTTTCTCTTTAAAAGCGAAACAATATTATATTATTTCAAATAATTTAATAACCAAGCTAGGTCAGTATAATTACATACTTAAATTGTAATTGCTCAAGTTTGTATAATTACAATACTTGTAGTAAGATAATAATGTTCTTGCTTCTCATAAGGGTGAAACTTTTTCCTTCAAACTTTATAATCAGAAAATAATATTATCAATTTTACTTATATCTATATAATATCATTAACTCAAGCGTCATTCATGCAAAAAAAAAAATGGCTTTTATTTTATATACCATTATACATTTCATTGTATTTCAACGAGAAAAAACAAGGAAAGGAAAATGAAAAATAAAAGCTCGTGTATGTTATTTTTATTTCAATAAATTATAAGAAATATGTTTTATCGGTTTAATAAACAAGGCTTAATATAAAAATATAAGAATGCCTTAAGGAATGTATAAGTAAACTGAATGTACTTGGAACGAAGGCAAAATTTATACAACTACGTACTTTACATTGAACAAGTCGAGCACAAAAATTAATGTCTGCTTCAACTCTCTCTCTCTCTCTCTCTCTCTCTCTCTATCTATCTATCTATACACGATTCGTTTATGTAATTAGCGTTCTTATTATTTTAATGTTTTTATTCCAGGTGGCTCGACATATTGACCGAGTCCATTAATCAGCAACTGCCCATTTGGAGGGTGGGTTGGAAGCGCAAGAAAGAGATCAGGAGATATGAAACATATTTCGGAAATTACCGGAAACTCCGCCTAGAAATTTCTTTCCTCGATAAAACTGAAAAATTACATGCCACCCTTATTGTACACTTGTAATAACCCAATGAATTTCGTATAATTGCAAGTTCTCAAGTCGGCAAGCTTACGTCATTAAAAGTAATCACCGTCAGCTGGCCATTCTTTATTAAATAGCGAGATCAACGAGCTCTCCGGGGTCGACTTATTACAACTGCCGATAACAGGCTTATGAAAAATGTTAATAACCTTTTCGATACAGAGGTTGGCGTGTCTCGCAGCGATGGCCTTCCTGAACTCGTGCGACAGCGGGTAAAGCATGGAATGGTGAGGGTGCACGCTGGGTAGGCGATTCTTATCCAGCTGCTCGGCGACGATCGAGACGAGCTTCTTCATCCGCGCCTCGTAATCCGTCCAGTCGCAGACGATCTGCAGACAGTGAGCCAAGTTGCAGTAGGCATCGGGGAAGTCCGGCTTGAGCTTGAGAGCGGTGCGGTAGCTCTGTATGGCCTCGGGTATGTTACCCGAGTCCTTGTGAATGGAGGCAAGATTCGAGTGGGCATCCGCGAAGGCAGGATTGATCTGTATAGCCCGGGTGTAGCACTGAAGGGCGCCCTGTACGTCCTGCATCTCCTTCAAGGTATTGCCCATGTTCGAGTAGGCGTCGGCGAAGGTCGGCTGGATGCGTATCGCCTCCTTGTAATGCATGAGGGCCTCGTTGAGTTTGCCTTGTTGTTGGAGGACCGAAGCCAAGTTGCTGTGGGCGGCCGCGAACTCGGGGAAGACCTCTAAAGCTTTAAGGTAGAGCCGCGTTGCCTCCTCGATGTAGCCCTGCTCGCGCTTTATGTTGGCCTGCAATTCGTAACGCCGTGATTATTGTCAATCGGCAGGGTTAGCACGGCAGAGGACTAAGGGAATATTGAATATTGACTGGAACGTTAAGGCAAATAAAGGCAAACAAAGAGTCCGCCAATGGAACAAGAATGGTTGTTTCAAGCTTTTAAACATACGGTGAAACGGTTCTTGGAAATTATTATAAAATTACTCTCTAAAATTAGCATCTATAACGGCCCGTTTTTCCGTATGGACGATTCACTCGAAACTGGCAAGAGATATCAACGTACGTTGATATTTGGATAGTTGGAGCAATATCATTATAATGATGCATAATGATTTTAAAAAGTAAATGTATGGAAAAGCCAATGCGTCCAAACATAAAATCAATAAGCGAAAAAGCAAAGTATATATAGTGTACGTGCTATTGTAATTTAATTTTGCAAACTGACGATAAATTCTTACGAATTATATTTACGAATATCTTGTTTCCCATTGTGCATACGTTACATTACATTATATGATAATATTTGAATAATTCACTATTTGCAAAAAGTGTTGCCATTACTTTCCACATTCAAGACTCGATAGTTTTACTTCGTTGCATTTGCCCGAAACTTTCAACCGAAGTACGCACACTTCGGTTACAGATGCGCAATTCCAAATGATTTTTGTTGTTCCACGATTGAATCGTAAGCGCAGAGTACGAGCTTGCAACGACCACGAAACACGTTATACGCATAATAAAGCACGTTTTACGCAATCAAAGCCGCGCAGGTTCCAAAAGCCTCCGCACCAAAATAGGATGTTTAAGGACGAAATAAAGAAATTTTTAATTAATGCTCGCTTAGCGATTTCAATTTCGATTTCAAGTTTTCATGACTCGAAGGCACAATACGAAACGCCTGATCAGTAGAGTCTTACCAGATTATTAAGGGAGTCGGCGTGGGTGGGACATAGGCGCAGGGCCGTATTGTAGCACTCCTCGGCCTCGACCACTTGGCCCTTTTCCTTGAGGGCGTTCGCCAGGTTGCAGTAGGCATCCGGGAAGTTTGGTTGAAGCTCGATGGCGCGCCGGTATGTGTCGATCGCAAGATCGATGAGCCTGCAAATGCGAAATCGAGGGATTATTCTACGTAGTTATTGCATTGTCCGGAACGAAGCTAAATGTTCGGATGATTCGTCATTATTATTGCGCCGGAGGTCACATTCGAAGCCCGATAATTTGCAGTGTCAGCAGTGGAAAAGCCGAAGAAGATATTTGTGATAACTCATGCGAATTTCTATTTCTATTTATTTTTAATTTTTAATCTTTAATTTTTAATTTTTTATTATTACGGAGCTAAAGGGAAAATTTTACTTTCGCCAATAAAATGGATGAATGGAGTCTGTGATGGGATTCGAAATACTGGTTTGAATTATAAAAATTTATACTTGAAATAATGTCGAAGATATGTTTGATAAAATGGGCTAGGCTTGCGCCAATATTTTTTTACTTTTTTATATCAGATAATATGTAGTAAAATTAACTAATTGCCCGTTTCTATTGTTATAACAACGCGAAAACCGAATGAAATGCTCGATTCTTTTTTGCTGTTATTATTCTATAAAGTTTTGACTATATTTTACAAAGTAATGGGGAAACAATGAATATTTGTTCATAAACTACCGAAAATTAACTATCCCTAGTATATTTCAAAATGTTACAGGCCTGTTTTTATAACGTTTTACGTAATCGCTCGAAACTTTTATCGTCACAACTAAACTTTTCAAGTTAAATAAGAGATTATATAAAAAAATATTAAGTTAAAATGTAGATAATTTATAGATTGTTTCTGATACGCAACTATATTAATGTATTCCTCGTACTTTATGAAATCCTCGCACAGAAAAACGCATGCAAATTCTTTGAGCTTTTAACATTATTAAAATATGCTATTTGAATCTTAAAAGTGTAACTGGACTTTCATCATTATTTATCGACAAAAACATAGCATACAATACGCGATAAAATTAAAATTAAATTTGTAGATTAATTTTGTAACTGAAAGTAGTAAAAATTGTTAGCCATGTATTTTAATTATATGTAAATTAAATGTACTGCATATATTAAATTCGAGATGAGCAACGAGACTCTCTAAACTTTCCTTATTACGTATGCGTTTGACTTTTATTTTATGCATTAATGTAATCTTCCTCGCGTCGGAATTAGTAAAACTAAAGCTTCTCTAGAACGAAATATTTTTATCTCGTCACGTCGAGCAAACGATGCTGTTCGTCAACATGTCTGATCGCAAATCTATTATTATATACATTATACATATCTATCGAGAAACAATTCATATCAAATAAAAGCCGCCCTTTTTTCTACAATTCTCACGATAATTCTCTTCAATAATTCTTAATAGACTTCATTAAATATAAAAATAATAAATATACGTATCTTTATAACGCGTATAAAATTTGTTTGTTTATTAACCCTTAATAAAAAAGATTAATAAGAAAGATTATGCATTGAATACATTGAAAATTATTTGAATTATTGTAAATCTATACTTCACTCGTATACGTTTAAATTACTTTTTTTCTTTGATAAGTGTCATAATGAATAATAAATAAAGCATTTTAATAGAAGTAGTTCATAATCGTAAATGTCATAAGTAACGGAGACTAAGAAATCACTTGGTGACACAAGGGAATTGAAGTTAAAATTTAATGAAATTGCATTAGGACAAAACAGTTAGGTCTGAATGTTATTTATATAACATTCAAGGATAATGAAAAGTAGAGTTTATATTCAATTCACTTTGTTTTCAATAGTGAAAACGGTGAACTGCACACATGAATTGAAGAGAATGGACAAAATGTTGAAATCCGTAGGCTTGCCTTCGATACTCAGCGCTTTTACATGTATAATATGAAGGCAATGGTGGGTGGGTTTGTGTGGTGGGATGAGCGAATAATACTTACCCCTGCTCATAGTAAACACAGGCCAAGTTTCCATGGACGACTGCATTGTTAGGGCTCAGATTCAGAGCACGAAGATAAGCGGCGACAGCCCTGTAATAATAATATAAAAAGGACGTGTCATTAAATATTCATTTTGAATGTTTCTGCATGAAATAATTTTCAAGGATCAGGAAATATTTATATAAAGTTGTATGAAGTTATATAAAGTATGTATGAAAAATATATTATTGTGTATAATTATGTACATGTCAATAAAATTTTCCGTTAAGTGAAATGTAAAATGTGGGGCATGTAAAAGATATACTTGATTGTATCACATCGTCCTTATATGTTCAAATTTCTTATTAACCAATAAAATTGCGTAAAGTTATTATTTTGCGAGCCATTTGCAGGAATATGGCCTTTGATTAGTTTTATTCAATGAAAAGAATTTGTACCTAGTTTGCATTTAAATTATTTATCAGGCAACTGAATCAACTTTTTTGTTGGAACAATTTTCCAAATATATATTACACAAATAATTAATTCTTTATATATTTATGTGTATATACATACATATACACATAACTTATAATATTTGTATATTATAATTTCAACATATAATATTTTATATTTTATATTAGAAAAAATTAAGTAATAAATAATGTTCAGGGTTATGTTATATCAACACTGGTACATTTATTACAATATTTCATTGTATAATGTTAGTTATTCGATTATAGTTTATATTTTTCTCGCGATCATGCAACCAACTGGTTGTATTTCATACAAGTGTTGAAATTAAGAATTATAGAAAAGATATTAATACCTCTAAAATCAATGAATATCCCTTATCATTCGATTCGCAATTTATAAATACATTTATTACTATATTGATAAATATTATGATATTGTATGTTTCCTTACCAATATATAAAATAGTAAATAGAAAAATGCCTTCAATAATTTCAGATGCACAAAATTGATAGTGTGCGCGCGAGATATTGAATGGGGGAACTGAGAAAAGATGATAGGGAGATGACAATAATTCATCTGAAAAGTAATCGTTTGTAATGTTAGATGATAAACTGAAAATGAATGAATGCATTTGAAATACATCAGACAACAAGTTTCCAACATTTAATTTTTTCTTATTTTAATATTATATGATAAAATCATAATTAACGTGAATTGAAAAACAATGAATCGACATTTGTAATTATTCATCAACGTATTAATTAAATTTTTATACATTTACCTTGATCGTATTTACCTATATAATGTTAATACATAAAATAACGATAGTTTCAATTTTCATACAAATGAAGTTTATGAACGATCGATTAGTTTTTATATACAATATCGAAATTCATCATTAATTTCTTTAAATAGAAAATTTTTAATTTTATCTAATCTACACAAAATCCCTAAAGTTTTAATCCCGAAAATGTTAAGTTAAGTACACAAATGTGATGAAAGATACAGTTTGTATTCGAAAGTGCAAAGTTAAAATTCAATGATTAAAACTAAAGAATGCGAAGGAAGGTAAACAAATTGCATTACGTCTTTTGGAAAGACACATCAAAAATAAATTTACTTCCTTTTTCATAACTAAGCACAAATACAACACTGAAATTTATAAAAATGTAATCTAATAATGTGAAGAAATTTAATTCTGCTCAGATAAAAAGTTCGAAAATAAAACACATTGTAAGGAATATAAAAATAAGAATACCGAGATGTTGTAAGGCGACACCAAATACGTTTTTTTTTCCTTTTTTTTTTAATCCCGATAAGAAAAAAGTAGAAAATAAAATTCAGTTCCATTCGATCGTATTCTAAGAAAGGGAGAAGACAATGAGAGGACAATGAAAAGACAGGATCCGACATTCTTCTGAATAAGTACACACTCGATGTAGTAGGATATTAATGGAAAAGGTAGGTTAAGCGAAATCTGGATTCTGCCGCCAACGAAAATCACTTGATACACAAAATTTTCAAAATTTCAGACAAAATTATCACTGACCTTCGTAATGCACATAAACATAAAATTAACCCGTGCGAGTATCTTTGATTTAGAGATCTCGGCCATGTAGCCGATGAGCATTAACAATAATATATTACTTTAAAGCCTACGTAGCGTAAAAAAAGTAGTCACGTTCGCCACCAAAAGCCACTATACCAAACTTGAATGAGAACTAAATTACGTTTCTCATGAAGTCACGGCACGGACCATACAGAGGTACTTTGCTACTCCCTCCCCATTCGAGGTCCGAGGCGAACCTTAGCATAACCTCGAATCTCGCATAAATTCTCATTCTTCCCCCGCGCCTTCACCCACGTGAACAGCGAGCGACTCACTAATAATATCCTTGCACAGGATGTGCACTAACTAAACCCCATCACAATCGAGCCATAATCGAGGTCGCCTCCTCCGTTCTCTACCTCTTAATCCAGGACTTGATCCAAGCGACACATCCAGCTGGAGGCTGCGGCGTGAGCGTACTCTCGAGCTGGATACGAATAGTCGGTGCCAAGCTCGTCGAAGGCGAGATCACCGTGTAGACGAGGACGCACTGGTACTCCATCGCCCCATCGCTGACACGCGGCCCACCGGTTATCCTGAGCCCGGCATTCGCCAGGAGCAGCGACGACCTTGGCAGAGACCCGGGGTGGGCAATGCGCGGCCAAGGAGTCCCCGTTATTATTTACCTAGTCCTTTGTTCCTTAATTGGCACCGAGCTGCGCACTCTGAGTGTTGCTTTAATGCTTTAATTGCTTGTGGATGGGAAAAACACGCGACTATATTTGCAAGCTCTTCGCGGATCTTATGAAGTTTATGCTAACGGGGATGCCAAGGACTTCACGTGACGATTACGCGTTATGCTTACGGATTCTATAGTTTTATCCTAATTGGTGAATGATGAGATTTATACTTTTAATAACAGTGGGTTCACCGAGGCGGCGGTGAACGTAAAATTATTGACTCGATCAAGTAAGAGAGAGTCTTTACATAGTATAATAGTGCGCCCGTTAATTGACGAGTTTGCAAATAAAAATGTATATTACTATCATTACTATTCCGATTGTTCTTTTAAGCTCTGTTTTTCTTTCTTTCATTCTTTTATATATATATATATATATATATATATATTATATTATATATATAATTTTTTACAATTTTCATCCACGGATAAGAACCATTTAAATTTTGATTAGTGAAATTCTCAATTTTTTGAATGCTACCCATAATTTTATAAAATCGAAACTTCTGAACTAAACGAGTGTAATAATGAGTTGACAGGAAGAACATAAACAAAGGGTTAAAATAACATTTTTATCCTATCATTTGCCACGGTTATTATAAAAGTTAATTGAAGTATTTGCTAATTCAGAACATAAGTGCTTATTTCTAATGCTCGTTCTACATTGTCATTGATAGGAAGCAACATGTCATTGAGAATTTCGAATTTCGAATTTCGAATTTTGAATTTCGAATTTAGAATTTTATAATCCAGTATACGATTGTATTGTGATAATGAGCATCATTGAAGAAGCATTGACTATCTATTCCCTATTAATCTTCGACTGTTGTATTCTCGGCAAAAATACAATTTCGTTACGGTATTCGTTACAGTAATGCAACAGTCATATTTCGAAGTATTAAATATACCGAAAGATTGAAATGCTCGTTATACGTATAAAGGAATCTTTGGATTAAAATCCGCGAGAAAATTCTAATTAAATTAGTTCTTATAAAAGATTATAGAGGCCATTATGTGAGTGCGAATTTAAAGAACATTTAAATATTAAATGCATATCGATTCTTTATATTAGACTTACGTTGATTTGATTTAAATATAAATTTCAAATCCCCGGCAAAAATATTATTTTCACGTACATCACTTATATATATATATATATATATATATATATATATATATATATATATATAGAGAGAGAGAGAGAGAGAGAGAGAGAGAAACATTTCTAGTGAAAAAATTTAATACCATATAAAAATACATTTCATATTTTTTAAAATTGAAATATATAATTTCAAACTAATTTGCGTTTTCGCGTACGTTTTTTTTGTTCAAATATAATTTATGATTTCATAAATATTTCCAAAAATTAATGTATTACTAAGGCGACAAAAGGTTTTTACCATACATTCACGATGTGCATTATTCATTTAATGTTATACATGATTTATGATTTTAGTATATTATATGTAATTTTTAAATTTTATGTGATAGATAAAAAAATTCACTTTTCTCTCGTACGTTTTAAAATGTCAATTTTAATTTTATAAATTTTCATTTATTCACCCTATTATGAAATTGCTATTTTACAATCATTATTTCATTGTTAATTTCTGTCAACTTATTTGCTTTTATCAGTTAAAATATGTAAGCGTAAGGGTCACAACACTACTATGTGAATGATTAAGTAACCCAATTAGTATTTGTCCGCTCATTTTTATAAATCAAAGTTTTCATTAGATTAAATGAATCAGTCATATTATTGGCTTACAAATCTCAGGATTATTGCGACTTTTCTAATAGGCCTTGTTGCTTTTAACAAATAGTAATTTTATCCTAAGAAAATATTTTAGTCCTACAATCTCCAGTGTCATGTACACTTTGACACTTACGCCCTCGCTTAAAAGGTTTTTCAAGTTTTTACATCGCAGATCATATTCCATCTACAATTTTATTCAAGAAAGTCCAAATTCTTCCCTCTTGAACTAGAATCTCAAAACCTTTTTACACACTTACACAAGTCTTTTCACAGACAATTTAATTTATACCTCCTTTTTATGCTTACCTAGTGTACATTACAAAAGAAGTTTACTTTATGAAAAGTTAACCATCGCGAAGAAATGGGAAACGAAAATTTTACATCTTTTATTTCGCGAGCCATTTTTATAATTTCAAGATAAAATTTATATCTATTTGTTACATTGATCTATAAATACACGAATATGCTATGAAAATCTTTTATAGGGAAAACAAGATTCGTCAGTTGTACCTCACATCCGAATGACATTTCGAATTTTTTGTCGCATACCTAACACTCATACAAATCTCTATATAAAGGTGCTTTTGTTC